TTTGTTTATCCGTATACTTCAAGACAGAAGAATGGAACTATTGCTTAAAACAAAAAGAAATATATGAATAAATTGTAATGTACTTAAATAATCCAATAAAACCTATTGTTAGGAATTATCTGAATTCTTAAAACCGTGATATTTCATACGGAACAGAATTTTGTTTAGAATTTGTATTCCATACTAGTTTTAGTATTATATGTTCCTTCTATTGGAAGCAAATTTTCTAATAATTTTCAGGCTGACAGGTGGTAGATATTAGATCGGGCGTATTAAATGTCTTATTTCCTTTATATGTGAGCGTCTGTATTCCCATTTTCTTTATGTTTCCGTTACAAATTTTAGACTTCAAAGAAGAGAAAGGAATAAAAAAAATATTTGCATGCTGCTTCGAGGAAATTTTGTGGGAGGTAGAAAAATCTTTCTTTGAGCCGGCCGACCCCTTTGTTAGATTTTTTGAAACCTTCTACATCCGAATAACTTCAGTTTGCAATTTTGTATTTGAGTTATCTAAGATTTTATTAAGTATTATTTTTTCTAAATTATTTTTTTCTTTCGTCTCCGGCCTCAACTAAAAATAATTCATATGTATTTATATGCAAAAGTTTACACCGAGTTACGCTGTTATCAATTAGGAAGAAGTTAGGGGTATTTAGGGGTCAGCGTAAGTTAGGGGTATTTCTGTACAGTTAACCCCTTCCGGACCTGCGATAGGAGAAAGAAACGTTTCCCCAAGCCCGCACTTTCCGAGAGAATACACACGTATGGAAACGGGCAAAATTTCACCGTTTAGCCTAATTTATTTAAAAAAAATTCATATAGAACCTTTATGAAATCAAATACGCTAAAATGTACTATTTACTATCATTGATATTATCTGAATACACAATACAAAAATGTTCGCTATATTTAAAAAAATAAACAATTGCGAATTTTAAAGAAAATATTTCCATTTTAATAAAAAAAAGTACTCTTAATTAATGTCTGATGTCCAGTTAACTAATAAGCTTTCCATTTTTTTAAAATTTTGTCAAAATATAAGCAAAAATCCAGAGCGCAATAAATCACGATTTAATAGAGATTTAAATGCCCGATTCTCTCGAAAAAGATAAACATGTGCAGTTGTTAACATTCATAAATATCCCAGATCTAGTTTTAAAAAAAAACTCGAAGCCGAAAGCAGATATTAAAGTTCAAAGCTTTGTGAAACATTATTCGAGAAAAAAATGGACTTCAACCACCATCTAGTGCTTTGAAAAAAATTGTGTTTAAAAACGTTCCAAACTCAAATCACATCGGTGTGATCACGAGCCTCAGAGCAGGGAAAGCGCAATCACATGTGTGATATTGTGGGCCCTGGAGGAAGAAACGCGCCATCACATATATTATACCGTGGGCCCAGGAGGAAGAAATGCGCAATCACATATATGTGATCATGGTCCTGAACAGGTTACAAGACCTTAAAAGTGTAGCAATGGCTTGGCAAAATTTCGATCAGGTGATTTTTCTTTACAAAATAAACTACGTGAAAGACAAAAAATTTGTGAAAAATTATGCACTAAAAGCAGTGGTGGAAACGAATTTAACTATATCTATTATATTGCCAGTACATGGATAAAATACGTAAAAAATTTTTAAAATTATACGTTCATCACTTGTTAACCCAATACTTCTCCACGACAACGCTCGGCTGCATACGTCTTACAAAACGATTGCGCGAGTGAGTGAGTGAATATTAACGTCGCACTCTTCAGCTATACACGAGGGATTTACAAAACAATTGCAAAATTAAATGAACAAAATATGAAATGTTGCTGCACCCGGCTTATTCACCGGATCTTTCTCCAACCGACATTCATTTATATAAACATTTTAAACAGTTTTTATGGGCTAAAGAGTATGAAAATAAAGACAGTCTGAAAAATTCCTTATCAGAGTTTATTGATTCTTAAGATCAGAATTTCTTCAAGACTGGCATTTATGCATCAACTTATACATCACAGTTTATGCATTAAAATTTTGCTGGGAGAAAAATATTGAAGCAAATGGAGAATGTTTTGATAAAAAAAAACGCTTTTGAAAAAAAGATATGCAGGTTTACGTGTTCACGTAAAAATCCGACTTTTCAATCGCAGCAACCTAAAAAGTTGTACTTTTTGATTAAGACAATTTATATTAAGCTATAACTGTTGTTAGAGTTATAATAAGCTCTGCAATACTTGAAAACTGGGAAGAAACCAGATGAAACAGCGCTAAACTTCTTAAAACTACTGTCATATTCAGGAACTAAAAATTGCAAATACATAGAGTGCAATTTTACTCCTTTTTTCATACATAAAGTACGTTCTCCTAAAAGCCATGTAAAAGAGAGAGTTTTATTAACGTCACACAACAAAGGTGCACCGGGGCTATTGGTGACGGACCTCATAATTTCAAGTCATGGTTAAGTGACGAAGACGACACCTGAATTGATACCCCCTCTAAGAACTTCCGCTCCACACCATCGGGTGGACGTTTGAGCCCCGATAGATTTAACATGTAGCGGCCCCCTCTACATGACGGGTCTTCAGCAGCAATAGGCTCCAACTCATGACACGCTATCCACGTGACCTTGACCACTAGGCTACCACGGCCACCCATTTAAAAGAGATACGATCTGTTTAGTAAAAAAGGGATATGTGTCTACGTTACGATCTTTTAAAAAGAAAAAAAAAATTCAAAACCTGGAATATTCTTCCATTTGTAAGATAAATCCTAAAGTCAAAGTTAAATTGAAATTTTGTGCAGGATTTCAAGACTAAAGTTCAAGTATAAAGACGTAAAATATAGATATCCAATAAAACGACTGAAAATATTTTTTCATCCCAAACTAACAACAAAATTAAGTGTAGTTCGGATTTTAAAGCAAAAAAAAAAAAAACTATTCCAGTTATTTCCAGTCTCATTTTTCAATTTTTACGCGAGAGAAGATGGTATACGTCTTTAGTTACATTGTGTTAGTATCACTTGTAATGATAAAGAAATAGAAGTTAAATCTCGAAGACTTGGTGTTGATTCTCTCGACAATAAAGAATATATGGATGGCTTAGTGACAAAATATATATAAAGGGAAAAAATCGTAGTTTGTTGCAAGTAGTAAGAATCTTATGAGACTGTTTGAAAATGAAATTGTTAAAGACAAATAAAGTATAGAAAAAAATCAAGTTAGAAATTCTTAGAGTAATACGTTTTGAAAGAAAGGATTGCAAACACTCTTCAAAATACTTTCTTGCTATAAATTCCATATATATTCTTTTCTATAAAAATGTACAAATCACTGAAAAGGAAAAAAATTGCAGACAGTTTATTTTTATCATTAGAAGTTGTTTTTATTTCTTACATTTTTCGGATTTCTTAAGCCAAGTGCATTTTGATTACGTATGTGCACTATAACTGTCAACTAATATGTACTTTTTTAAAAATAAAAGTTTTTTCAAAAAACAAACGAACTCACTGGCTGGAGACAGTGATTGCATTTATCATGTGATTGTGACATCACATGAATTTATGAACAGATTGACTGGAGACAGTGATTGCATTTATCATGTGATTGTGACATCACATGAATTTATGAGCAAAAATTTATTGAACAGTTATTGCATTTATCATGTGATTGTGACATCACATGAATTTATGAACAGATTGACTGGAGACAGTGATTGCATTTATCATGTGATTGTGACATCACATGAATTTATGAGCAAATTGATTGGAGACAGTGATTGCATTTATCATGTGATTGTGACGTCACATGAATTTATGAGCAAATTGATTGTAAACAGTGATTGCATTTACCATGTGATTGTGACCTCATAAATTTATGAACAGATTGACTGGAGACAGTAATTCCATTTATCATGTGATTGTGACGTCACATGAATTTATGAAGAAATTGGCTGGAGACAGTGACTGCATTTATCATGTGAATGTGATGTCACATGAATTTATGAAGAAATTGGCTGGAGACGCGTGATTGCATTTATCATGTGATTGTGACGTCACATAAGTTTATAACAGATTGACTCTATCATGTAATCATGATGTTATATGAATACTGACTATTTCTGTGTGATATAAGACTTTCATGTCTAATAACGTGATAGATTTCGTGAACGATTTTTAATTTGTCTTACAATTAAAATTCGCGTTACATAATAAAATTAAAAATGTAAAATTGAATAAGTTTCATATATTCGAGAAATGTAGAGGGAACCAAGTCTTCTCCAGATTAAAAATATTTATTGTACTCAAACTTTTATAATTAGACATATGCTTTTTTTTATGTCTTGTAAGTTTTTTAAGAACTTTCATAAGATATTTACCTCAGTATATTGCAACGTGTGCCTCCTTGGTAGCTCGAAGAATGTCTAAACGGTATTCCAGTTCCCACCAAGTGTTAAGTTCAACAGGTGTTTCACACACATTCGGCCTGCCATTTCTAAGAAGATCCTTAAAGCTCTGCCTATTTCTTTAGACATTTCATACCATCGCCTTATTGATTTTTCATCAGGAAATTTTCTTCTATAACAGAGTCGAAATTTACGAAGAACATTAATGGGCGATTTCGTTTCGTGGAACCAAAGCACACATCGTGTTTTTCCTCGAAACGACGCCATTTTGGCAAAAAAAAAAAATGTTTTCCTTAGAAAAGTCCCCCCCCCCGAGTCCCTTTTAAATGCACATTCGCGCAATATATTGCACAATAAAACTACACTTTTTTTCAATTCCTACTATTATAGTTCACTCTTTCCTTGTATATCTTGCTCCAATTTTCAATCGTTAATAAAATACTTTCTATTCATCCATTCAAGTTCAAATACATTTTTTAAAACTTGTAGTGGATGACAATTGATGTTAATACAGTTTTTTCAAATATTAATTCATTACTTTGATTAAAAATGAATAAATAGCAACAAAAACAATAGCCAACCGCATATAAAGAAAGGAAAATCGTTCGTTGTGTTCGTATAGCGCAATGGAAAGCGCGTTGGACGTCTAATCCAAAGGTCGTGGATTCGAATACCACCTGGGATGGCCTGATTTCTTTTTTACTTTTGTATTTTTTAAATAAATTAAATTAATGAATAAAAATAGTTCAAAATCGTATATAAAAAGGAAAATCGCTTTCTATTTTTGTCACTTAATGTTGTGATTCTGTCATATGTATATGCATATTTTTATTAATTGTAATTATTTAACAAAAAGTAACTAAAATAAAATTTTTCTTTGTTGACCAAAGTAGGAATTGACTTAATTTTTAAAAAAAAATATTATTACTTGTTCCTAATGAGCTGCAGATTGGCAACTTAGCCAAAATAATAAAACTACTTAAACTGATCCATCCAATGAAGCAAAAGTTACATTATTATATTAAATGGTTGTTTTTTAATAAGCCTTTATAATCAAGCTTCGACTTTTGGCCCACCCTGTATATCGTCACGTGACGTAAGATTTCCAGTAAGGTTATTCGACGGGCACATTCAGATGCTAATTAAGAACAGAAACCAAACAAGGCGATGTGATGATTCCAAATTAAAAATAATAACTATACCATTACACATACAAATCTGAGCCATTGAAGCCCTTAAATGTAATCATTACATTATACTGAGCACACACAGAGATAAAACTTAAGATATCCTAATTTGAAATTTAAATTTTATTCAAAACTCAAGGCGAGTATTGATTGCTCGCAACAGCTTAATTCTGGATATTAAAAATAGCTAAACCACCTATGCTTGGAGCAAATAGAGAAAGCCTTAACAATGCTTCAAGGTCAAAGCCATGTAATGACAATGTTATCTGTCGCGAAACCTTAGCACTGCAGCATCCCAAAGGCATAATATGTCACGCAGAAATACTTCAACTGATTGCTTGGGATGGGAAATGGATTATGAAGGCATGATTGCAGGTAAATAGGGAGCACCTTTTGAGAATTAGTTTCCACGTTATCGTCCCCAGTTTTTGAAAACAAATCTGCGGGCGCATCATTAGGGGAAAGAATGGAATGATGTGATTTAAATGTTGTTTCGAACAAAGGGTTTTGAAATTCAACGTTGGTTTCCGGGGAAGTTTTAGTATTGGTAGAATAGATTAAAATAAAAGGAGCCTCGTTTTGTAAAAGATTCAAGTTCTGTTCCGATGAAATTTTTTTTTTTTAATTCCTTAATCTGGCCCAAAATGTAATCGGGCCATTTTACCCAAAATGTTTTAAATAAAGCAATTTTTTTTATTGAATAAAACTGAACACCATATTTAAAAAATTAAACAACGGAAGAATTTCATACTAATTTCATGTTCTTGTGCGTCATTTTTTTCAATTCCTACTATTAGTTCACTCTCTCCCTATATATATATCTTGTTCAAATTTTCAATTGTTAATAAAATACTTTCTATTCATTCATTCATGTTCAAATAAATTTTTAAAACTTGTAATGGATGATACTTGGTGTTATATAATACTGTTTTTTTCAAAAATATTAATTCATTAATTAGATTAAAAAAAGGAATTAATAATAACAAACAAAAATAATAGTCCAACAGCCTATATACAGCAAAGACACAAAGAAAGTCGTTCCTTGTGTCCTTGTAGCGCAATGGGTAGCGCTTTGGATTTCTAATCCAAAGGTCGTGGGCTCGAATCCCACCTGGGACGGCCTAACTTCTGAGAATGTGATTTATTTTTTACTATACTATTTTATTGAAATAATTAAATTTAATGAATGAATAAATAGAAGTAAACAAAAAAAAATAGTCCAACATCCTATATAGAAAGGAAAATCGAAAATTGCAAGGAAAATCATGCTTTCTACTTCGTCACTTAATATTGTCACTATCATATGTATATACATATTTATATTAATTGTAACTATTTAATAAAAAGTAACTAAAATAATTTTTTTTTTGTTTACCTAAGTAGGAATTGACTTATAAATATTTTTTTATATTACTTGTTTATTTTAAAATTGTGGAACACAAAAGATCATCAATGTTGACACTCTTGCACAAACAGTTCTTCATCGATGTCTTTGGGGGTAACTTTGGGCTAAGTAATTTGCCTATTTTGTCACATCCTTGCTACTTTTCATGAAGATTTATAAATATCTAGAATCTTAAGTTGAGAGTTACGTAGTGGTGGTACATTCGTCGCAATTTAAATTTTTTTCTCTATTTTCTCCCCCAAATCTTTTACGCCCTAGGCATATGCCTAGCGTGCCGAAGCGTAAAAGCAGCTCTGCCCATTCCCCTGACTCCCAATACATTACTGAGTGATTTAAAAGCAGTGACCCTCACCCCTAGGCCACGGACCGGTCCGTAGATCAAGTAGTACCGAGCCGCCCAAGGGACATTAAATCATTTCCATTTTATTTACTGTGCTGTATTTCTCTCGGTTTTGAGCCACTTTTTATGGAAATCAATTTATATTCCATATTAAAACACTTTGTATTCATTGATAGTGTAACTGTATTTTATTCTGAAGACATGTTCAAATAAGAGTATAATTTTGAAGTTGTTGGCAGCTTCACTTATTTAGGTTCGGAAATTAACAATAGAAACGTTTGTATTACTGAAATCCAAAAGAGAATTACTATGACTAATAGATATATTAATGGAATACGAAAACATATGAAATCGGATTTAATCGAAAGAAAAACAAAGATTCTATTGTATAAAAGTTTTTAAGATCAGATTTAAATATTCCATCCCAGCTCTAAATAACAACCGTACAATAGCATCAATAATAACTAGACTTTGAACAAAGCACGTAAACTGATTGAAAATCTAAACTGACGGACAAAGAAGTTACAAAAATCATTGCCGAAACTACCCTAATGTTCAACTGTTTCCACAACATATCCTCAGCTGCCCAGCAATTCAAGCCAGACTTTTCCAGATCAGCCCAGAAGACCAGGAAGATTTGATCTTCTCCGATACAGCTGTTGAAGTTGCCGAAGCTTTTCTGTAGCTTCGGAGTGATCTAAAGCTTCCCTTTTTTATTAATCTGCACATCATGGACACGCCAACATCAACAACAATATAAGATTATGCGTGTAAAACCTCGTCCATATCTCGAACAGATGAGAACATGGTAAGTATCTACGATAGGAAGCTTTTAAGATTTATTTTTGGAGGAATTCAGGAAAATGGACCTTGCGAAGAAGATTAAATTTGGATCTGTATCACTCATATAAAGAATCTGACATCGTTAACTACATCAAAATACAACGAATTAAGTGGGTAGGTCTCGTTGTCAGAATAGTCGAAGACCGCACCACTAGAAAAGTCTTCAATGCCCAACCAAATGGCGCGCGGAGTAAGGCAGGTCAAATCTAATATGGATTGATGGCCTAGAAACAAATTTCCTAGTTTTAAGAACTAAAAATTAGAGAACAATAGTAGGAAGATGGCAGGTCTGGAAAAAGCTTCTTGAGAAGGCCAAGATACACCCTGGGCTGTCGAGCCACTGAGGAATGAAGGACATGTTTCGATACAATTAAATTAAAATGATTGAAACAAAACAATCTAAAATAGTATTACGAATTATGTAAAATAGTGTAAATAATCTAAATTTGGATGTGCAATGCATTTATATTATACTTATTTTATGTTAAACTGTAATATTCACAAACAACGCCGTCCCTTACGTTATAATGGCGATTCAATAGGAACTTGGCGAAATATTGCCGATAGAGCAAAGTTGGAATCATTTTTGGTGACCAAATTGGCGACATTGGCGACCATGTAGTCAGTTCGGAACCCTCTGGATTCTTCTAGAAATTAGGAGAAATCCACTAATTTCACGATCTATGACGCGAGCGCATCTTTCTCGAAGTTTCGACCACGGCTATAAATAGAGCGATACTCGCCTCAACGAGTCAGTCTGGGTTTGACTAGCGATTAGTAACCTTGCCTTGAGTGAGATTAGCTCCGCTGTGCTTGTGAATAAGCTTATATATACGTGTATTTTAGGTACTAATAATTGTGTCTAAGTGCTGTTAAAGGTGTGAAATCCTTCTGATATTTATTCTGCGAGTTTGGCTGTTGAATCCTGTGTTTCAAGGATTAATTTTCGACAATAAATTCTCATCGCTCTTAAAGAACTGTCTTGTTGTTTACGACTGATTAGCACAAAATCCTCGAACCCCGATCAACATAACAATATAAACAATCGACGCCTTCTCTCTGTGAACATTAAAATTAAAAGAGAGTATTAGGAAAAGATAAAAATTATCGATTTAGTGCAAGTATCGGAAAATGAAAGTATCGATTAAGAGGATGTATAGAGAGCATCGAAGTGTGTGTCAAATTAAGGAAAGGGTGATTTGTTAAGTCGTGTGTATAAAATTGAATGATACCAGTTTATTAAATGAAAATATCGAATTTTTATTTTATTTAATTAACTACGTACGAAAGTGTCGAAGTATTTTAATCATTCAAGTGTGAGAATCCGTAAATAACGTCGTATAAAAGTTTCAAAAAGAGACATTAGCTACGGAAATTGAGAATAAATATTAAAACATGAAGAGCACCCCCTTTTGAGAAAATACATGGATAACCTCATAATTTCTTCTAGGGTGTGTGGACTCTCAAATAACATATCTATAAAATAATATATAATGTGTTAAAAGAACGTGTGAAAATGTAAACTGTTTTGAATATTTTTAAACAAATTTAATGTCAATATGTTTTACATTTCAGGAAAGCAGACAAGTATATTTCTTACAATAGCAAACCAAAAAAAAAACAGATTAAATTAATTTTTTTTAAAATTCAAGTATTTTTCTTTAAAATTTCGAGCGAGACAACTTTATTGCTTTTAATCACACTTAATGGAACGTTTTGTAAATAGTAAAAGTGGAACTGATGTTTAATATTCTCAAAATATTTTACCTATTGTTTTTATTTGCCTTATAAACAACTAGCTGTTGAACTCCACACGCTTGGTTGGGTATTTTATGATGAGGCATGACTATGTACTGTTTTATGTTATTGAGTGTATTTGTGTGTTATTTAAAACACAGCGTTAAGCTGTT